GCAATCTGCTTAGAAGACTGTCCATATATACTGTATTTATCTTTTACCCCTGAAAAGTAAAAAAAAATGACACAGTGTCTTTCACTCCTTCCTGTCACCAGCTGAAAAAGAGTCTCGCCTCAGGCAGCAACAGAAACCAATTTACGCTGCCAACAGAGAATCTTCTCACTTACAGTTAACGGGCTTTGGTGTTTGTCAGCTACATCCTGTGGGGGTTCAAAAGATCCTCACACCATGCATGTTAACTAGTCTTCTTACCTGTCAAAACAGTGTTACATCAGTACCAGATCAGAGTTCAGTTCACACCTAAAACTGGGCTAAGTCATAGGTCATTCATTACAATTCAGAACTAAATTCACACTGCAAGTTTAAACCACTTCATGTTTGCATATCTTTGTTTTATAAAGTAATCCCAAAATTATTGGATAGTGTATTATATTAATTACACCTTATTATTGAAAGCTGTTCTGTTTGAGATGTTGTTTACAAATGTTTACTTCTGTCTTGAACATGGGCAAAAGATTCATATTATGACTCAAAGATGCTAATTAGAACTATATTTTATTAATTTTGGTCACAAAGTAACTTTCGGGAGTTTTCCACTTTCAGGAATTATGTGTGATTTTTCAGAAATCTGTGATACTGTGATATAGTGTAACCAATTCATATTTTTATTTATTTATTGCTAAGCACCCTCCTGCCAATAGGAAACTGAGTGTCGACCAGAATTAACCAATAGCGTTAGACTACCGCTTACACACTTCAAATTTAAGGAATACCTCGACTGATGCAGTTGATGAACTTTTCACAGACAAGAAAGTCTCTAAAATATAAATATATGAGAACACTGCATGACATGAGAAAAATACTTGTAAAACAGCGTGTTTTAGCTCTGTTCGTCGGCTACAGAAGCACATAAATAAACAAGAAACATGAAGTAGCCATCTTAAAAAAACTGACTATTTGTGTGATATGCTTGTCAGCCACTAGATGGTGCCCTCGGATAAGAGAAATACTCTGGAAAGATGCTTTAAATCACCACAAACTTAAAGTCAGACTATGCAACTTTTTCAGATTTTTAAATCATTTCCTTGAGCCAGTATGTGCTAAAATGACCCTTTACAATGTTGATGAAATGTTGTTTTAAATTCCCGAAGTGCCGTGTATAGTTAGCTCCACCACTAATTTCAGCTGCAAATAAAAATGTAATTCAATGAAAATAACATTTAATATGAAATTCATTGATTTATTGAGGATTATAAATTTATGACTTTATGAACCCGTGTGACGCAAACTTGTTTTAAAATGATAGAAATCCTTTTAGAAGATGCTATAGCCATTAGCTTGTCAGAACCAGTCTCTGTTTCTTGGAGCTGGAGCCGTTTGGAGCTAATTTGGAGCAGATTTATATTGTTTTGCTAATTTAGTGCCGATTCACGTCATTTTTAAAAGCAGGTGACAAACATTCAAGCTATCAGCTACTCATGTCAGAAAGTGTTCAAGACTAAACGTTGCCATCTCCAACAACCTCAACTTCAAACATTTCCTTCAGTTTGAATCAACACCATATTTGGTATTTTTGCGTCCTGTCACTTTTGTTTTTGTTGACATTATTTTCTCAGCTAACAACACCTAGGTTGCTTTGCTAACTATTCACACCGAGGCTGCTGAATGCCCTCTACTGCTGATTAGTCAAGACAGCCTGGAAATAGAGCTTTTTCACTCTCACTTTTAACCACGAGAAACTGAGTGTGGCAGGTTACGATGCACCTGCAGGTGGCAGCTGCAGGATCCGTGAGTTGCTAAGAAGTTATTATTTAAATCATACTTTGTGGTGTAGCTCTGTATTGGTGTTTCAACGCAAAGGTCCAGAAGATCAAAATAAATGTTGGCAATGCGACTAGAAGAAGTTAAAGCTGGCACGTTCTTCCTGACTAAAGCCATTGACTTGAAGTAAGATTGGTTTTCTAATTTTTGAACCTCGTTGGCTGGGACAGTTTTTCTAGAGCAACAACAACAACAACAACAACAAATGACAACAAAAGTCCATTCTTCACCCAAAAAAAAAAATCATCCCAGATCAAATTTCTCAGGAATACATCAGGCCAAACTCACGCAGATGTGTTATTTTGCAATAGGTGCAAGAAGCTAATAATGAATTAATAATAAACAATGAAAGCAGCTATGTGCTTCAGGAAAAACATAAATAAAGACAAAATGGATCCACTTTGCAAAAGTAATACTGAATGGGGAGCTAATTGCTAGTATGAGAAGAGTCACAAGTAGGATTAAAGCAGTTTATTTAAATTTCATTCTACAATTCCTTACTTACACCTCCATTTATTTCACATTACATGTATTAAGTCTGCTGAAAATAGGATACGCTGGAGATCCTGCAACCTGGCTAGAGAACAAATCATACCACCCCCTAGTGGCTGGTTCCACAATAAATCCAAGCCCCACTTCTTTAGCTGAATCCTAGTTTGTTATAAAATGATTTTCTCTCATACATGCAAGTATTTGATGTTTAAAAACACGGAGATTGTACGTGGACGGACAGGGAGGACTTTTAGGCTCTGTCTCAGTCGGCAGATTTCATAAATGGAAATCGTGGCTTCACTTTTAAACGATGGAAAGCGGCAGATACACTTTGTCTTTCTTTACATACGTTGATGGCAGAGACTCGTAGTTCCCTCACAACAACAGACAGTAACATAAAGCTCAGTTATTACAGCACTAAAGCTGATTCCCCTGCCTGCTGTTTAATACTGGAGGATAAAACCAGCGAAGCAACACCTTTACTCCACCAAAACCCGAGACAGAGCTCAAATGGAGATTATCTTAGGAGAACTGACATGTTTTCCTTCAAGAATCTATCCTGGTTTTACTGATCAAACTGGTGCATTGGATATAACCAGTACTGATGTCGACGTCCAGTCTATCCCCACCCTGCTCAGTCCTGCTGAGCTCAGCCTTTTGCCTCACCCACCCTGAGACATATGGGAGTTTAAAGGGAACGTGGGGTGGGAGGGTACTTAGGTTCTTGGTTTGTCTGCAGGAGAATCTAACAACACAAACAGTCAGTCGCATGAGGAGGATGTAATGAAACAATACCCTTCACTGAATCAGAGACGTTTATTTTACAGAGTCAGCGAGGACCCGAACTGCTCAGTTCTTCTGTCTGTGTGAAAGATGATACCGACACCAAGGACGTCTGAAAGAAGCTCCTGGACAAAAATGCAGAGCAGGAAACCTCTGGTTTAGCAGCTTTAAAAACAGAGTGTGAATTATTTACAAATCTGTATCACAGCTCCTCGTAACCTTCATTCAGTTCTGGTTCTGTGAGTCAAATTTCACTCAAAAAGGAGTTGAATCAGTCTAGCTAAGGAAGGCAGGATAATTCTGGGTTAGAATACAATCACAGTAGTCTTCTGTTTACTTTTTGGTTTGTTTTCATAGAAGAGTTTGTATTTTATTAAACAGTAAATATTGTGTCCCTCAAAAAAGATGATCTTTTTCTTTGTTGGTTTTTTATTTTTGTTTACAGCACTTTGGTCATTTATAATGCTTTTCTTTGCAGGAACATAGTTTAAATGTCCCAATAAAGCAGCTCTAAATCTGGTGGGGGTTTTGTTTTGGTTTTGTTCTCAAAAAGAAATAAAAATACTAAATTATTCCTCAGAATGACCTGTTAGGACCTGCTTTTGATCAAATTCCTGATTCAGGCTCAAATTGTTCAAATATGTTTCTACAGAAAGGTTTTAATGAGCTTTAGCTGGATGTCTTTAACGTGGTATTTTTAACGGATCATCAGATGTTAATCCTTCCTAATTTACTGATCTGACATGTTAGTTTCTGAATATTATTTGAACAACCTATGTTCAAGCATCCCAAATCTAAAATAACTGCAGAAATTATTAGATTTTTCTTTGAAAATACAATCTATAAACAATAAATAAAATAAAATCCTAAATAATCTCAGATAAACCTTGCCAGATTAAGAAATGCCCTTTTTATGTGTTTTTGGATTAAAACAGCTGTCAGGTTCTCTGTGAGCTTCTATTTTTAGACCTTTTTTGTCCAGTTGCATAACCTTCATAACCTTGAGGTGGGTTTTTAGAAGAGTTTAACCTAATCCCTGCACACATTTCAGACGCAACATCGAAATGCCAGCTGTTGTTGCCCTCAGGTCAGGAGATGAGAAGATGTTTCTACACACCTCTAAAACAAATCAGGTCACCCTAATTTACTGAGCTTAACTGCAGGCAGCTGAGAAACCAGCTGAAGAGGAGAACATGGTAAATGGTCTGTATTTGATACAGCGCCTTCTAGAGTCCTGGAACCCCTCAAGGCGCTTTACAACACAATCAGTCATTCACCCATTCACACACACATTCACACACTGGTGGGGATGAGCTACGATGTAGCCACAGCTGCCCTGGGGTGCACTGACAGAGGCGAGGCTGCCGAGCACTGGCGCCACTGGTCCCTCCGACCACCACCATGCAACCTTCCGATTACTGGGCGAGCACTTAGCTCCTGTGCCACCGTCGCCAACATGAGTCAGAGAGGCTGGAGGCCTCAAACTGCTTCATCATCCTGGCATAAGGAAGTTTCCTCTGGGTGGAGGCAAAGGAGGAGGTCAGATTATTCTGGGTGGTTGTGTTAAATATATCATTTCTAGCATTGGATACCCAAGGGAGGTAAATATGGACCATTTTCCATATTTTGCAGAAACTAATTGGGTCATTTCATGACTAAAGTCACGACTGATGTGTATTTAAAACTCCTCATGACCCCTGTTTTTAATTAAATGCTTCCACCATCATGCAAATAAGCCACTAGGTGTGTGTGTGTGTGTGTGTGTGTGTGTGTGTGTGTGTGTGTGTGTGTGTGTGTGTGTGTGTGTGTGTGTGTGTGTGTGTGTGTGTGTGTGTGTGTGTGTGTGTTAGATATGAGCGCCTCCTTATGTAAACATGGAGGATTCGGGCTCTACTCACTTCAGGCCGAGACTCCGGTCCTCCCGAACGCACGCTGCCAGGACTGACTCCTTCCTCGACGCAGGCAGATTCCTCCGCTTCCCAAACCAAACAAGCAGCAGAGTCTAATCTGAGACCGACAGGTCCTCGTCTCCGCCTGCGCCACCAGCCGCCGCGATCTGAAGCCTCCGGATGGAAAAACAGCTGATATCTGACGTCCTGTGAGCCGGACGCGGCGGGGGCTGGTCCAGGGTCTCCTTCAGAGGGCTGGATGGGGCAGGGAGGGGTTCTGATGGTGCTGCTGAGGATGTTGATGCTGCTGAGGATGGAGGCTGAACGATCTGCTTCGGTTCAACACCTACACCGTGCTTTTGGATTGTGATGCGTTCATGTACCCGTAGGACACGGCAGTTGTTACTGTCCAAGAGGCGTTCAGATGCCCTAATCAATGTTTGTGGGTGCAGTAAATAATCATTGTTTTCTTGGAGAATAAACAGGACATATCTATATTTATTTGCCATCTTAAATGTCTGAATGACTTGACTGTGTTCACATCGCATCAAATGATATTTCCAGAATTGTACACTTTGTAGCATTTGTTTGCAGCTTTGTTAATTTTGACTTTACCTTTTATTTTCTTTTAATATCGGGAATTAGAGAAAATAAACATTTGCAAGTTACGTTTATTTGATTAGCACCTATCATGAAAAGAAAAGTCACAAAGTGCTTCACAAACAAAATCACATTACAATTAAAACATGATTAAAAGAAAGAAAAATAATCATTACAAACCAACCAACCAAATAAAACTGTAATATACAGTCAATACAACATAAAAATAAAGGAGGTTCATTCCAAAGTCAGGGTGCCACCACTGGTAAAGAGCGATCACCTCATTTTTTATATCTGGTCTTTGGAACTTCTAGAAGGTTCTAATTTGAGGACCTGAGGGCTCAGGTTGGAGCATAAAGCTTGTAGAGCTCCATCATGACATCACTGGAAACAAGCTGTTTCTGTTGAAGGCCTTTTACAAAAACCAGATGGGAATTTAACAAAACTGTTGTTTAGGTCCAGAAAAGTAGTCAGCTGATCGGCTGTTTACTTTTAGAGATAAAGGGTCATTCAGAAATGGGTCTGTAGTTTTTAGTCCGAATGAGACTAAACTGGGTTTTAGGTTCAACAAGTGTATTGTAAAAACATAGATAACACTTAACGATAAGTGTTCCTTTATTATTGTTAGTGCGTTAATAATCATTAATTAACAAAGGATCCCTTTATTAATGTTCCCAAAATTGTTAACTTATTGTTAATTATTTAGGTTTCTTAATATTGTCATTAATATTAAGCAGTTGTTAATACTTTGTTTAACGGTTTATTAATGCTTAATAATGCACTAAGTCATGTTAATAAAGGGACCCTGTTACTAAAAAATATTAAAATAATCATCATTTTGTGGCTGACCACCAGGGAGCTCCACCCACACCCAGAGACAGAATGTGATATGTGTGTGAGGAGACGTGTCTTTTGTGTGTGTTGTAATCTGTTGTGCGGATTCACATGGAGTGGTTAAAGGATGTAAGCAGAACTACCTCGGGTCGTCCTAAACTTCCTCCACAATTTAACATTTTTTTCCTGTTGTTTTCAATGGGAAAACATTTAAAAAGTAATTTTACGGGTGAGTTAGCATCAAAATTTGAAACTGAAGAACACACATATCTACCTGTCACACCCTGTCCACTCTGTTCTGTCTTGTGTCTCCTGATTACTCCCACCTGTCTCTCGTTTTCCAATCACCCAGGCTCCCAGCCCTCATGTATTTAAACCCTCTCAGTTCTGTGTGTCTTGTCGATTCATTGTTTCCATGTCGGCGTGTTCATTATTAAAGCCTTTAATCGTGTCTGCCTGCCTACCTTCTTCACCTGGGTGTGGATCCTCACCTCCGCTTCATTCACCAGCGTGCGTGACACTACCACTTGCACAGTAAATAGTAGTTGTAGTAAAAACAGCTGCTACGTTTTATGTATTATTATTTCCACATTGTTTCACAACCCCATATCCAAAGTGTGTACTGTGTACATAGACACTACAGTTGTGTAAAGTGTTTTGTCTTGTTTTATTATTTTGTATTCTTGGTCACTTTTGTACTCTCCTTCTATCTGGTCTGAGCTGTGGTAACGCACAGATTTCCCAACTGTGGGATCAATAAAGTCTTTCAATTCAAGTTTATTCATAAAGCGCCAAATCACGACAAGAGTTGTCTCAAGGCACTTCACATAATAAACATTTGAATACAGGTCAGTTCATTAAGCCAATCAGAAAAAAGTTTCCTATATAAGGAACCCAGCAGATTGCATCAAGCCACTGACTAGTGCATGACTAGTGTCAGTGTATGTACAGCAATCTGTACAGCATTTAGCGACAGTGGAGAGGAAAACTCCCTTTTAACAGGAAGAAACCTCCAGAGGATCCTGGATTAGTATACGCAGCAATTCGCCATGACTCACTGGGGATCAAGAAGACAGAGCAGACACACGCACCAGCTTATCTTATGGTAAATGGCCTGTATTTGGGTTAGGATTTCTAGAGTCCTGGAACAAGTCACTTTACAACACAATCAGTCATTCACACATTCACATCCTGTTGGTGATGAGCTACACTGTAGCTACAGCTGCCCTGGGGCACACTGGCAGAGGCAAGTCTACTGTACACAGGCACCTTCGGTCCCCCCAAACACCACCAGCAGGCAAGGTGGGTTAAGTGTCTTGCCCAAGGACACAACAGCAGCGACAAACTGAGTGGGGCTCAAACCTGCAACTTTCCGATTATGGGACGAGCACTTAACTCCTGTGCCACGATGCCACCTGTATCTTGTCTTGTCTTGTCTTGACTTATCGTACAATAATTCAGCCAGCATGTGACTGAAGAAAAACAGATGATAAACATTGAAAAAGCTTCTACAATAAAAAACCTTATATGTTTTCTGTAGAAATTTTTTATTTATTTATTTTTTATTAATCAAGCACTCGCCTGATAGCTGAGGGTAGGTGGTGATGGATCTGGAACTCTTAATAAAAACAACAGCACTACCAAAAAGAAAATGTCATAAGAATGTGAATGGATTTCATTTTCCATGTGTGAAAGAAAGTTTTGCCCTTGGCCCGTGCTTTTGACAGGAGCCGCTTGGATGGCGGTTGTGGACGCAGATGGAGTTTTTGGGTGGAGAACCTTTTAGACAGCTGAGACTCAAACAGCAGCTGCTGGGTGGGACGGAGGCAAACTAAAATAGACTTTGTTGCTGGTTAGATGTTTTGGTTCAAGTCAGAGAGGCACAGGAAGATACACCAGCAACAAAACATTATATTTTAACCAGAAATACTAGAAAAACAGCAGATCATCACTGGAATGTTGTAGCAGCTTCAAAAAGCCAGAAATAAAAAGTCATCAAGTTTGTACTCAGTTGTCAAACATCAGAGTCTGTCTCAGCCCAAACTTTGTCTGGACTTTTTGCTGTTTCATTCTTCTTAAAATAGAGCAAAGCAAACTGAAAATGGTGTTCTTTGATACAGAAATAAGTCATGAGGGTGAAAATATTAAACTGTCAAAATCATTAGGTTTGCTGTCAGGAAGAAAATTATATTTAGAATCTCACAGGAAGAAATAACCTGAATTAATATCAAGTTGTTATTAAAACTGTGAGACAAGACAGTTATGCTCAATGCAGTAATAATAGAGGTCCGCGTTATAATGTACGGATTTAAAAATGCTCCTCTCATTTTTGGACAGTCGCAAAGGGGACTCATGATGAACCTGGATGGTTTTAATTTTGTTTTTTATTTTCCATCATTTTCTCTAGAAGGAATTTAGGACTTTGGAGGACATTGGCTTCCTCTAACCTTTTCCTAACGAGATAAAGGTTGCTCTAAATGATTCACCAGTTTGTTATCTCCTGCTCCAAGTCCATTGCCTGCTGCAGCAACCACCTCTAAACAGGGTCACTGAGTGGATCTCATTAATACTATTGTAAACACACTGACATCATATATATCTGAGGGTCCAGAACCAACCTGAGCATTATCTCAATCCACCCCTAAACACTTTAATGAATATTAAGCAATCAAAAATGTATTTAAGAAAACAAAGACGCGGATTCTTCAGCTTCTGGACAGCCTGCCAACAAACTTCTTTAAAAATGTTTTTAGCTGCCTGAAAGCTGACGTACTGGAAATTGTTAACTGCTCTTTAATGCCAGGAATTTTTCCTAAACCTCTGAAAACAGCCGCTGTTAAACCCCTTCTAAAGAAGAGGAAACTAGATCACTCAGTGTTGAACAACTACAAACCGATCTCTAATCTCCCTCTGATTGGGAAAATTATCGAAAAAGCAGAAATGATCCAAATAAACAAATTTCTGGAGTCAAATTATATTATATTATATTATATTATATTATATTATATTATATTATATTATATTATATTATATTATATTATATTATATTATATTATATTATATTATATTATATTATATTATATTATATTATATTCAGCCAGGCTTTAGACAGCACCACAGTATTGAGACTGCACTGATCAAGGTATTAAACAGCATTCATCTTAACACTGGCACAGGTAAAGCATCTGTCCTGATGATGCCTGACCTCAGTGCAACTTTTGATACAGTGGACCACAACATCCTCCTCGACAGGCTCACAAATTGGTTGGGACTATCCGGTACAGTCCTTGCCTGGTTCCAATAATATCTGAAAGACAGGGGCTATGCTATCTCTATTGGGGATCACAAATTAAAGCTGGTCACCATGACGTGTGGGGTCCCCCAAGGCTCAATTCTAGGACCACTACTCTTCAAACTCCATGCTCCCCCTGGGTCAGGTCATACTTAATAACAACATTGCCTATCATAGCTATGCTGATGACACCCAGATCTACCTAGCCCTATCACCTAGTGACTGTCGGCCACTGGGATCACTCTGTCAGTGCCTAGAGCAAGTAAACGACTGGATGCAGTCAAACTTCCTTCAGTTAAACAAAGACAAGACTGAAGTTGTTGTCTTTGGCAACACGAGGGATGGAATGGATGTTAGTGCTCAGTTGGACTCCGAGACCGAGGTTAGAAATCTTGGTGTTATTATTGACTCAGACCTGAGCTTCTCTGGACATATTAAGGCTTTAACTAAATCAGCGTTTCATCACCTTCATCAAACTTCAAGAGTCAGAGGTCTCAAGTCCAGGTCAGACTTAGAGAAACTCATTCATGCTTTTTTTTCCAGCTGGTTGGACTACTGCAATGGTCTCCTAACTGGTATTCCCAATAAAGCTGTGAAGCATGCAGCTTGTTCAGAATGCTGCTGCTAGAGTCTTAAAGGGACTTTACGCAGTTTTGAATTTTTATGCTCGCGATTGCCCCCTCAGGCCAAAAGCGTAACGGCAGCTTCAATAGTAGGCTCGTGCACGAGGCGAGTGTGCTGTACGTGCACACTCCTTAACGAAAATAACAGCTGAGACAGTCCCGTGTGTGCGTACGTGCGTGCGTGCGTGCGTGCGTGTGTGTGCGTGTGTGTGTGTGTGTGTGTGTGTGTGTGTGTGTGTGTGTGTGTGTGTGTGTGTGTGTGTGTGTGTGTGTGTGTGTGTGTGTGGGTGGCCCGGACGACAGAGGACAGGAGAACGTGCAGCTAGTGAATAACATAATTTGGTTCT